ACACAAGCGCGTCGGCAAGTTGTAATCTGCGCCGAGCGTTGGAAAAAAAATTGTCACACCTTCATACAGGTGATGCTCCCAGCATGCCGCACTTCATCATGCTGCCTGGTGTGGGTAAACAAACACACGGCTTGGAAGCAGGTGGAAGTGTAAATGCGGTTTGGCGAGCGTCCGTATGTTTGTGTGCGTACGCTGTTTTCAGGTAAGTCTTGCAAAGATAAATGTGAAAAGGAAATGATGAGGGTAAATGCACATGCCCTACTTTTGTGCACCTCTTTATTATGTTCATTTGGTAGCTCAGAAAGCAGTCAGTGTTCGCTGCTTTTCTCACCGACTGCTGCAGAAATCCAACAAATAAATTTTGCTCATGGGAAGCTGCTGTCACTGTCCACCACAATCCAGCATCCTGGCAGTTGTTGACGTATTATCTGTACAGTCTATTACTGCAGGAGCAGCTCAGGTCTCTGTGAAATGAAATTTACTGAACGTCTACTTAAAAGTCATATTTAAACCTGTATTAACTCAGCAGCTACAAAGCAACGTCACTCATTTGGAGTCGTGCTTCTGTCCACCTGGTGAATGTAAGACCGACATTCGCCGTCTTTCATCTCTATTTTTGGCCTCTTCGAACTCCCGGGGGAAATATCTGGTTCTTTAGCCTCTAAATGTTCCACTATGTCCATCAGGTGGTCTCTGCCTGCTGGTTAATGCTGAGCAGGTAGTCGGGTTTTAGACCTTGTTTCTCTGAAAACAGCTGCTTGCTGAAGCCAAGAACAAAGCTGTGAGATGAGCTGCAGATTCGATGAGCTGAATCTTCACCGTAACCAACCTCTCGTCACAGTTTCCACATTGTCATTTGATGAATTGTTATAAAAAATTGATTTCAAACACCTTTACTTGTTGATGACTGCGTCTCAGAATCGGCTGCTCTTATTAGTGTGGTTCAGTTTTTCTTTTCTTCCATCTTCCAACGTTGTGTCTCACCGAGTATCGAACTGTACGACGGTAATTAGTTGTGTGTGTTGCTGAGAAGCAGCAGGTGTAAATGGTGTGTGTGTGTGTGATAGTTCTAAATTCTCTTTGAGTGAATGGTTTGGTTAGAACGAGCTGCTGCATGTCTTGGATTGAAAGTTACGGTGATTTACCACATAAATAGTTCCAACCCCGTGGCTTCTTGATATCCAACCACAGAAGACAAAAGCAAATAAAGACAAAGTCAATTGGCTTACAGCCAAAGTGGACGGGTCCAGGACGCACCGAGCTGTGTCCTGTGAGAAAATCCACAGCTGCCAATCAGAGCCCGGGCCAAGGTCACATGATCATGAAAAGTTTGTGGAGCTATGTACACACTCATGAGGCCGGCGGCCCGCATCCAGGAAGTGTAAAATTAGCAAACACACACTGAAGACTCATTTTCAATCTGTTAATAATACAAAGAATATGAACACTATTATGAATTGTATTATTATTATGTTACAATTAATTCAAATTTAATATCGTGTTTGAGCACTACTTTTTATCTGGTCATTAGTAGCGGGGCGGCGTATTGATGACTGTTACAACCAGTGAGTTCAGCCAGGAAGACAACTGCAACAGTCTTTAAAAAAAAAAACACAAGGGCTGTGTCCAAAATCACCCACTCATCCCCGACTCCCTGCTCCCTATGTAGTGATCACTATATAGTGCACTACATAGGGAGCACCTCAGCAAAGTATCATTTCGGACACGACTCAAGCTGTTAACTACGTCGCCCCCTAGCCACAGTTTGTGCTGCAACAGCGTAGTACAAACACATCAAATTCACAGTTTATTGCGTCGCTAAGAAATCAAATTCAATCAAGTTTATTGTCATTTTGCTGTACATAGCAGATGAGAGAGCGTTTCTTCAGGATCCAGTAACTTAAAGCAATTTAAATAAAGAGGTGTTGTATGTCCAAATCACAACCGAGCGCCGCAATTTTAGCGACGTTCACTGTCCGGGTAAAATAACATTTAACAAATCAAACTGGAATTTTTCGTGCTCTCGTTCGTCTAGTTTCCATTTCCTTTCGCGCAATGCATGACGGTCCACATTGCTCGGTGAGTGACCATCGGCTGTACACTACTTTTCACAGTGCATTGTGGGATATTTTGAGTGACTATATAGGGTGCATCATTTGTAACTTAACAGTCGGACACACCTACAAAATGGCGTGCACCCTATATAGTGCACTATGTAGGGTATAGGGAGTGACTTCGGACACAGCCAAGGACAGCTTGATCAAGTCTTTGTTTTCTTATTTTTTTTATATCATAATTATAGAAATGTTGGTGATACATTAGCAATACTTTCACATCACTGTAGAGGATATTCTTAAGGTTAAAGACTTTCTATGTGCATCCAGCAGCCACAACAGAGTTTCCTCTCGCTGTTGGGTCAGACTTGCACCTAATGCTCTTCGTGCAACATGTAGGTCTCCAATTGTACAGTAACTACACGCAAGCAGTGCTTTGATGGTGGACCACACTTATGAGACGACTCACAGTAAGTTTACATTATATTGCTTGTGAAGTTAGACTTTAACTCTGTCGAGCTGATGATGCAACACTCTGCTTGCGTGACCTTGTACTCTAATGGTTCAAAATCTCTTTGCAAATAACAAAATTAACAGAATCTACTGACACACTGTGACATGCATGCTTTTGTGGCCACTGGCACATTTGAACACTTTAATCAGTTTGTAATAACACTCCTTCACCGAGCCCCTACGCAAGAAGACGTTTGCGTGCCACTGACATGTTGCCTTTTACCAATCATGGAGGACAGTTTGACCTGTTGCAACCGTCTCTGGTTGATAGTTGTCGTCTGTCTGCGCTGTGTGGTCAGGTGTGTGCGCTTTTGCACCAGTAACATCATGATTTACTGGAGATCTTCATAGGACCACCTGAACCCTCAGACCCACCCAGGATCCGTACAGCTCCAGATCCATGTTTTATATGATTGGTTGGGTCCTGGGTCTGTTTAACATTGTGTGTACGACCTGACCAGATGGACCCAGCCATGATCAGAGTGTGCTCATCATGATGTAAGCGTTGTGTGTCTGCACTGTGACTGTAACTACATCAGCAGTGCTCACGTTAGCAGTCAATAAGCAATCATTATTATAGTTCAGGGGCAAACAGTGAAGTTATTTTTATTACGCTGAAGGCAACAAAATTGCAAATCTGATTCTGAGCAGGTTTGTCATGTGTCACGGTGACAGTAAGTGGAGTTTACATGTGAAATAAGGAGAGGATTAGCCTCCACAAGAGGCGAATAACAGGAAAATTACATGTAGTTTACCGACGTTCTGGGCAAAGGAGGATGGATTGCATAAGTCAGGGGAGATGTTAAACTGATGTTTGGTAAAGTTTTGTTATGACAACTTGTCAGTGAGCGTTAATTTGTCAGCTTCGGACAGCATTTCTGCACAGGTCCATATTCTAGCTTTGACATACTAACATGGCTGTGGGTGCTACGTTTCCAGGCCTTTGCCACAAAGTTCTTTGACCCGTGAAGATCTCTGGTGGACTGACAAATCCATATCCCTGCAATAAGGTTTCTCGAGGTAAGAGAAGAATCCTCTAACTGATGGGTCTACATTAGTGTTGTTACTCATGCTAGCTGCAGAATTTGTGTTAACAAAGCACAGTTCACGAGACGAGCTCATGCACACATTTATGTCTGCAAACACACATCCGTCCACTTATACTTTAATATACATACAGCATACCTTTAGCCTTTAAGTCAATTTCTGGAGGAAGGATAATCCAGTGCTGCAGTTTTTCCAGACAGGATTAGTGTGACAGGAAATCAGGAGTAATGTAATGTAGCAATAATACCAGTTCGAAGCAAAAAGCATTACATCATCTGATGCATCCAATTTAAGGGGAATACTTGATCCTACGACAATCTCATCACAGACAGCGGACAGAACCGCGCAGGTGTGCACAGGCTCCACGCCACACACACGTATGTGCACACACACACGTACCATCAAAGCATTTATCAGTCAACCTTATATCTGCAAATGCACGAGAATCTGTCGTTTCTTTTATGTGTCATGGAGGAAAAAAGGATGTGAGCGCAAATATCAAAGATTTTGATCACATCATTCTACAAGATCAGCTTAAAAATGTATTGATATATAAGAGGATTTAATCCATTTTATCAATTCTAGATGTGTTTTTTTAAATATATATGGACAGTTAGTGTGTAGATAGTCTTGCCCTCGCTCCTATCTGTGGATGCGATGACAGTCTCATCACTGAGAATCTTATACGATCACACAGAAGCATGAACACATCGAACAGAAACATATATTGGCATGCAACACGCACTGTATGTATTGGACATGCACAGGTGTATTTAACTTTGTTAAATGTCAACACTGTCTTCTTTCCAGACATTTATACACCGCTGACATTTCCTCAAGTAGAAGTCAGTATCAGTGATACATATTTTCAGTGGCTGTCATTTTATCTTTTCAGAGTATTTGCTCCATAAAATGTCAGAATACTTGAAAATGCCCATCACAGATTCCCAAAGCCCAGTACTGGTGTTCTGAAATCTCTCCCTCTGTGTCTCTTTGGCATTTCTGCTTAACAAATGATTTCCACGTCTTATCGAAGCCTCTGACGGTTAATTTTCTGTGGGTTGATTAATCCATTAATCTGCTAATTGTTTCGGCGCCAAACGTTGGCAAGTCACATTGGATCTAACATTTAACATTCTGTCAGACAGAAATGTGACTTTATGGTGTTGGAAAATCGACCATGAGAGATAAAATAGTAAAATTAAGCAACACAAGAGGTATTTGTATGATGTGCACATGTTGAAAATGTCTGAAAAGTCACGGCAGGTTTACATAGTTTCTGACTTGTGGCATCAGTGCTCCAGCAGACAAGTGATAAATAATGTCCCTTGTGGTTTACGCCTTTAGTCTGGTTTTAGCTGCGTGCGTGCGTTCGCTCCCACTTACCCCCATCATCCTCGTCGAAGGAGTTCATACAGGGGAAGTAGATGGCGAGGGCCTCAAAAGACGCCGACAGACTGATGCGGCTCTGCGATCTCTCCATGTAGAGGCCCGCCGTCGGGCCCGGGTCGGCCGGCTTGGCCAAGCGCGGCTGGGCATTCTTCACGCGGAGTACGGCTCGCGGCGTCTTGGATGGCTGTCAGCTGCCCCCCACGGCAGATCCACCTCAACCCGAAAAAGTCAAGCAAGAACCTCCGAGGCGCTCACACCGACCAAAATCGGTGCCGAGAAAACTTACTCGCAGCAATCGGCGGCGCAAGTTGACGTGAAAGAGAGACTCTGATGTTCCTCAGATGAGACGCGACCTCCGCTGGTGCAAAAACATCCCAGGAATTAAAACAATGTGTTGCGAGACGGAGCAAGTCGCTCACTTCTGGTGCGGTGAAGTGGTCTAACGAACGGTATATCTATCTGTGACTGTGTGCAGCAGTGTTGAATCTCTCCTTTCCTGTCATCTCTCCTCTAGTGTTCGGCCTCTTGTTTGTTGATACTCGCGCACGTCCTCCTCTTCATCCCTTTCTTGTCCTCAGAAGTGGAGGTGAGAGTCGGGCAGACTCACTGATCGCTGGATCTTACCTGCGTCTTCACACTGATGATGAAACCTGATCTTGCTCTTTCTGTTTCACGGCAAAACTCTCTGAACTCTGCACTCTGCATGTCAATCTACGCATCCTCCTCCTCCTCCTGCTGCTTGTGCATTCAGAGCCTGGATGCCTCGTCTTCTTTAGATCCCGATGATGGAAGGAAGATGGGAGGAGACGCTGGTGGTGGTGGTGGTAGAGGTGATGCTGACGCCCAGCGTGAAACGTGTTGCTCTCTGACTGAATCAAAGCTTTTGGCTCCTGTCGCTCAGCGCCGTTATTTCCTCCTGCTTTGGACGGAACAGAAGCATTTCCTCCACGCAGGGAAAACTGACTTTCAAAGCCCAGGAGATGCCAGCTGTGGGAGCCAATCTGCTTCGTTTCCAGGCGCAGATCAGCTGGGAGAACATCAGTTTGTAATGCAACTGAGGGGCAATCTGTTGCTTCTGATTTGGCTTTGAAGTGCTGTTACAGTTGATGTCCTGCTGTGGTTGTTGCAAGTGTTGTCGGTGTTGTGCTGCTGTCAGCCAGGTCTGTCGACTTCTTGTCTCCTCCGTCAGTCCTGTGTCGCTCTGATGCCGATGCTCCACTGACTGTCTGCTCCGAAAGACGGGAAAAGGACTGAGACAGAGAGAGAGAGAGCAAGAGATGGTGTGACAGAGAGAGAGAGAGAGAGAGAGAGGCTGCACTGTTAAACAGCTTGTGTCTGACTGGACTCATTCACTGGCGAAGCTGCATGGAGAGAAAGACACAGCGGGAGGGGAAGGGAGGGAGGATGTAAGGGAGAGGGGAGGCAGGCATGGAGGAGGGGAGGGAGAGAGCAGACTGTTGCTGACAGCCCGACCAATCGAAACGTGGATGAAGGAATATGGGCGTGGCTTGCGGGGGGGACAGTCGAGGCGATGCAGGGCAGCGCAAGTTTACAGCGTCTCTCGCTCTCTCCGTCTCCTTGTGCGTCCAAATCATCCAGAATAGCCAGAACGTCTGATTTCTCCATCAATTAGGATCATTTGAGCACAGATCTGAAAACCAGCCACGACGACACAACTTCAAATGTGAATGTATGAGAAAGGCAGCAGGTCTCATTCAGTATGATTGTGTTTCTTCTTTGGGTTGATACACAGTCGTGAGAAGCGAGTTGTGTTGTCATCCAACAGGAGAGAATTTACTGATGCCACAAGTCAAGTCAACTCACATTTAAAACAACAGCAGTTGAGTCAAAGGGTTTTACAACAAAGAGCAATGACTGCAAACTTGCAAACAGAAAAGTTAAGCTCAAGACCAAGATTTAACCCTAAACCTAAAAACCTGACTGTATAACCCCTGATTTAGTCCTGTTCTGTGGCTGTTTTAGCGTCTGCAGCTGCTGTTGTTCATGCTCTCTTCAGGAAGAAGATTCTCTCCTTGTCTGTGATCGACAGCGTGGAGCAAAACTGTTGACTGAGTCTGAGTTTGTGGGACGAGGACTTTCTAAGGCATCGACCTTTCTCGCTGAGTGACATTTAACTTGGAAATATTGCCGAATTCACAGCCCAGCCGTAGTTTTTGACTCGTGTGGTGAGTTTGTTCGTCTTAATGGGCTTCCTTTCTGTCACCGTTTCATACAGTTACTAAAAGATATGTAAATGATTTTAGCTTTATTGGGAATTTAGACGTATTAAAAGGCAGTAAATGTGAGTACAGGGAGCAAGAGAGAAGCTAACAGATGTAATGGACGAACACAGACTGAGTGAAGGCAATATGAAAACATAGTAACCCACACAATCTCTGTTTATTGGTTCCAAGCAAATCCGAAATGAATGAATAAGTCCTGAAATGATCTCTGAGTCTCCCACAGTTTCCACAGAGTTCTGACTTGTAGGTACATGATCAAAGCTAAAGGCAACACTGACCACATTAGTCGCACAACGCGCTAAAACTAAAGCTTTTCCTGTCGTTGTGATGACATCGGCATCAATAATGGGATGCAATCCAATGGATCTTCGGTTCCTTAGATACTGGANTCATAATTATAGAAATGTTGGTGATACATTAGCAATACTTTCACATCACTGTGGAGGATATTCTTATGGTTAAAGACTTTCCATGTGCATCCAGCAGCCACAACAGAGTTTCCTCTCGCTGTTGGGTCAGACTTGCACCTAATGCTCTTCGTGCAACATGTAGGTCTCCAATTGTACAGTAACTACACGCAAGCAGTGCTTTGATGGTGGACCACACTTATGAGACGACTCACAGTAAGTTTACATTATATTGCTTGTGAAGTTAGACTTTAACTTTGTCGAGCTGATGATGCAACACTCTGCTTGCGTGACCTTGTACTCTAATGGTTCAAAATCTCTTTGCAAATAACAAAATTAACAGAATCTACTGACACACTGTGACATGCATGCTTTTGTGGCCACTGGCACATTTGAACACTTTAATCAGTTTGTAATAACACTCCTTCACCGAGCCCCTACGCAAGAAGACGTTTGCGTGCCACTGACATGTTGCCTTTTACCAATCATGGAGGACAGTTTGACCTGTTGCAACCGTCTCTGGTTGATAGTTGTCGTCTGTCTGCGCTGTGTGGTCAGGTGTGTGCGCTTTTGCACCAGTAACATCATGATTTACTGGAGATCTTCATAGGACCACCTGAACCCTCAGACCCACCCAGGATCCGTACAGCTCCAGATCCATGTTTTATATGATTGGTTGGGTCCTGGGTCTGTTTAACATTGTGTGTACGACCTGACCAGATGGACCCAGCCATGATCAGAGTGTGCTCATCATGATGTAAGCGTTGTGTGTCTGCACTGTGACTGTAACTACATCAGCAGTGCTCACGTTAGCAGTCAATAAGCAATCATTATTATAGTTCAGGGGCAAACAGTGAAGTTATTTTTATTACGCTGAAGGCAACAAAATTGCAAATCTGATTCTGAGCAGGTTTGTCATGTGTCACGGTGACAGTAAGTGGAGTTTACATGTGAAATAAGGAGAGGATTAGCCTCCACAAGAGGCGAATAACAGGAAAATTACATGTAGTTTACCGACGTTCTGGGCAAAGGAGGATGGATTGCATAAGTCAGGGGAGATGTTAAACTGATGTTTGGTAAAGTTTTGTTATGACAACTTGTCAGTGAGCGTTAATTTGTCAGCTTCGGACAGCATTTCTGCACAGGTCCATATTCTAGCTTTGACATACTAACATGGCTGTGGGTGCTACGTTTCCAGGCCTTTGCCACAAAGTTCTTTGACCCGTGAAGATCTCTGGTGGACTGACAAATCCATATCCCTGCAATAAGGTTTCTCGAGGTAAGAGAAGAATCCTCTAACTGATGGGTCTACATTAGTGTTGTTACTCATGCTAGCTGCAGAATTTGTGTTAACAAAGCACAGTTCACGAGACGAGCTCATGCACACATTTATGTCTGCAAACACACATCCGTCCACTTATACTTTAATATACATACAGCATACCTTTAGCCTTTAAGTCAATTTCTGGAGGAAGGATAATCCAGTGCTGCAGTTTTTCCAGACAGGATTAGTGTGACAGGAAATCAGGAGTAATGTAATGTAGCAATAATACCAGTTCGAAGCAAAAAGCATTACATCATCTGATGCATCCAATTTAAGGGGAATACTTGATCCTACGACAATCTCATCACAGACAGCGGACAGAACCGCGCAGGTGTGCACAGGCTCCACGCCACACACACACACGTATGTGCACACACACACGTACCATCAAAGCATTTATCAGTCAACCTTATATCTGCAAATGCACGAGAATCTGTCGTTTCTTTTATGTGTCATGGAGGAAAAAAGGATGTGAGCGCAAATATCAAAGATTTTGATCACATCATTCTACAAGATCAGCTTAAAAATGTATTGATATATAAGAGGATTTAATCCATTTTATCAATTCTAGATGTGTTTTTTTAAATATATATGGACAGTTAGTGTGTAGATAGTCTTGCCCTCGCTCCTATCTGTGGATGCGATGACAGTCTCATCACTGAGAATCTTATACGATCACACAGAAGCATGAACACATCGAACAGAAACATATATTGGCATGCAACACGCACTGTATGTATTGGACATGCACAGGTGTATTTAACTTTGTTAAATGTCAACACTGTCTTCTTTCCAGACATTTATACACCGCTGACATTTCCTCAAGTAGAAGTCAGTATCAGTGATACATATTTTCAGTGGCTGTCATTTTATCTTTTCAGAGTATTTGCTCCATAAAATGTCAGAATACTTGAAAATGCCCATCACAGATTCCCAAAGCCCAGTACTGGTGTTCTGAAATCTCTCCCTCTGTGTCTCTTTGGCATTTCTGCTTAACAAATGATTTCCACGTCTTATCGAAGCCTCTGACGGTTAATTTTCTGTGGGTTGATTAATCCATTAATCTGCTAATTGTTTCGGCGCCAAACGTTGGCAAGTCACATTGGATCTAACATTT